AAAACTGTCCCTTTCTCTTAGGCTTTACATTTTTGAAGTTACAGTTGTAACGGGAACAAAGCTTTTCAGTTTCTTGAAGAGCCTTGATTAGTATTTGTGGCATCTATTGGGGATCGAATGTCTCTGAACAGTAGTGCTCATGAAGATGCTTTTGAATAAAAGCATTTGTGGTGGTGCTACTTCTACTAAGGTGGAGCTGGGCACTTTTTATTGTGGGGTCTTTTCTGTGCCCTTCTCACTGGGAAGACCAGCTTTAGCTGGAAGAAAACAATGAGAAATTATGTCCAGGGCTGAAAATATTGCTCATTTTTTTTTTGTCAGAGAAGACAGATAATACATGCCTTCCACTGAAGACATGTAGGAACAGCAGAAAAACTGTTTTTCTCAAAAGGATGCTTGTTCATGTGATGGCAGTGGCAGGGATGTGGAAGAGAGGAAAGCACCCAGCCACCACCACTGGTGGCCTCTTCAGAGTGCCTCTGGAGACCTGCAGCTAAAGCTGCTGCCTCTCCGGGCAGCTAGTGTGGCTCCCAGACATCAGAGGGGCCACTCAATAGCCTAATAGGCAGCAAGGGGCCAAACAAAATCACAAAATCATAGAATAGTTTGGGTTGGAAGGGACCTTTAGAGGTTATCTAGTCCAACCCCCCTTGCAGTGAGCAGGGACATCTTCCACTAGACCAGGTTGCTCGGAGCCCTGTCCAACCTGACCTTGAATGTTTCCAGGGATGGGGCTTCTACCACCTCTCTGGGCAGCCCGTGCCAGTGTTGCACCGTGTTCACTGTAAAAAATTTCCTCTATTACTGCAAGCAAACCAAGCTCAAAGGCCATGCAGCGTGGCATCCCAACTAGTGTGGCTACATGCAAGCCACAGCTCTTGATGTGCTCCTGCAGCTGGGGCAAATTTTGAATTCTAATGAAGAGTTTCTTACAATGAATATGATTCATATTAAATGACTTGCTGTTAATAGGATTTGCTCAGCTCTGAAGGTAGTTTTGGATCTTTGTTCTGTAACATCAGATATGGCCTGTAATGTTAGAGCAAACAAATTAAGGTGTGAGCTAGGAACCACTGATCCAGATTTCAGATCTATCAGACATCTGTTAAATGTCATGTTAATACAGTTTATTTGAAATGAAGAAAACCTTAAGAGGTATTAAAGCAATGGTGAAGAACAGACCTACCCTGATAAATGCAAACATCAGAGGGTTAGCTGAACTATGGAAGTCGCAGAGAGAACTGACGACTGATTTGCTACTGCCTGAGTTACTAAGAGAAGATATAATACAGACAACCAGTAACCCGAATCCTAGCCCAAAGCCCTGGTGCTGGGTATTGGAAGATCTTAGGATGATTCTGACTAATGATTCTCCCATGTGAGTCAACCCTCATAGCAGTGATCTTCATATTATTGCCAGCCTGTCAGATGTAGCAGTTCCAGCTTGGGAATTGTACTTTCACCAACCCTAGCTTCTGTGCGTATAAATAAGAAGCAATGGCAGCGAAGGACACGGTTCTTTGTTGTTCATGTTTGAACACAGCTTTTCAGGACTGAAGTGGCAATTTTGCCCTTTGTACTAGGCTACCCTTTTCTCCAACGGGCCTTTTTTCTGTGCTCCTGGGGACAGTTTCTGAAACTGAAGGTTGCACTCAGGTTTTTGAAAGTCCCCAATTAAAAAAAAAAAAAAAAATCTACCAGAAATACTGGTGCTGTTACAGCAAGAATCAGTATTTAAAGGAGGGGAGTGAAACGCCACCATTTTAAAACCCTGAAGGAAAGAAAGAAATCTGTGTCTTCTGGCTTGCTGGGATTTAGTGTTAGTTAACAGCTACTGGACCCATGTTTTTTCTCCCGGTCTTCACAGTGACATTGGCTTTGATTATTCCTTGTGCATTTGTAACTAATACTATACTAATAGTCCACCACTTTAGTTCAAGCAATACTTAATGTACTGCCTGAAAACCTAGTTTTTCCCCATTAAGGGGTTATTATATAAAATTTTAACTACAGCAGCTGAAATGTATGAGAAATAATTGCTTTTATTTGTTCAGTTCAGTGTTACCACCACACAGAGAGAGCTGCATAGTCTGTGAAATTAATTCTGTTTCAGTTAAAGGAAATGAGACTCTTCACCTCAGCTTTGAGTGAGAGTGGATGGGGCTCTGAACCAGCAAATGAAAAGATGTTATAAGGCTTTTTTCTAAATGAATGTATACATGTTGAAAAGGCTGCTGTGTTCTCATACAGAAACAAAATTATGCAGAATGTGGACCATGTGAAAAAGCTTACGTTTTATTAATGAGTCTGTTGGTGCCAATGTAGCTTTTTTTTGTAGCAAGCAATTAATTTGAATTTTCTTGTTTCAGGACCAGAGCAATGGAACGTCTCTGTTGTTCAAAAATGTGCATTTGATAAGGATCGTTTGGCTTACAGAAAACAAAGCCTACCAGGAATGCAAAATCCACACTTTGTCTTTTTCAACCGTGTGTGCTTGCTTTCACATGTGGCACCAGGAGACAGAAACTGCAATAAGGATTTTTTCCTTCTGGTGCTGTTTTTCCACCAAAGCATCATTAACTCTTTACAAATATATGGCTTATAATTCCAGTCCTATAACTGAACGTTGTATTTCCCGTCTAACTCAATTGGTGTATTTTTCCTCTCTAACTCTTGCTGGCACCTCAGTAGAACTGTGATGATACTGAGCATACCTGGCGGACTAGAATCATCTGGCACTGCCAGGAAGGACTGCAACATGAAAAGTCCCAGCTGAGAAAACATAATTCCTAATTGTACTTCTCAACTCAAGAGATCCTGGGTGTAATACGTGATTTAGAAAAAGTAGAGAAAAACAGAGGAATTTTCTTTTTTCTTGACTATTCTGTATTTCTGTCTGCATTCTCTTTTTCTTGTGAAGTTTGCTCTGTAAATAGTGGGTGTAAGTTCATCTCTCTTTTTCAAGTGCATTCCTG